CATGAATCAATATGAATAAGTATTCAACATAATAGACTGGTACCTGAGTTTAATAGAGATAGAGATTTTTATATAAAAAGCTCATGACGGTATTGTGTAACTTGATAAGCAATGATGCTGTTCTCACCATTTTTCAACTTGATTAAGAAGCCATTGAAATATACTTTTCAAGCCCTGATTTAATTGCTATTACTGATGATTCTTTCAGTAATCATGAAAAAACCGATTTTCTCTTTCAAATCGCATAAACAATGTGCTGTAACTCAACAACGAATTGTGCGACCCCCATCATATTCTGATAGAATCAAGAGGGTATTGTTATCAATTTTTTGAGCCATGACTAATTCCAGTTTGATGACAATTTTTTGAGTGATCGTTGAAACATCTATTTGGGGAAAACTATCAATTTTTTCGATTCTGTATGAAAAATTTAATTTTAATTGGTGTCAATAAATAGAGCTTATTAAAGTATTCATAAAAAAATTCATGACATTCGATTGATCCCCTATTACAAAATTTAGGAAAAAATGAAGAAATTCGAACTTTTTAGATCATATTTAGTAAACCTAATTTTAAAAATTGAAAAATTTAATTTGAGCGATTACAAAGCTTCAATTTGGAAACTATAAAATGACATAAAAGGAAATAAAATGCAATGAAATGAAATAAAATAATCTGTCTACAATTTTCGCATTCCCAAATATTCAAAAAAGCTTCCTCCGAAAAAATATTAGAGTTACAAAAAATTCTCTGAACATTTCCCCTGCCGAAGCTCCTCCTGATTTATCTGCATTTACAATATTTCCAGTGGAACAAATAAAGGGACCGGAAGAGGTTCGCGAGCGGATTGTAGCTGCAGCGCGAACTGCAAGACAGGGACCGGACTGTCCACCGGAACTACGTCCCGAGTATAATCCCAGCCAACATCCGCTCTGTGACCATCTCATGCATTATCACGAGCATCACATTACCCACAACGGTATAGTATGCATACTCATCCACTCCACCGATACCCCACCTATTTTCAATGACGCTGAGACTACCGCATAATACCGACTGACCCAACACACTGACAGTTTTATCCATCACCGGAAATGCTACCCCGGTTTAACCAATGTTCGACCCAGCGACAGTGGTGAAATCAATAGTTGACTCCAATAGGAGGATTTATTTGCTGAAATTGCGATTGATAAGCCAATTCGAGGGATTTCCATTGCACTCGGGACGGTGGGGTGACTCGTGCGGTTCAATTCAACATTTTTAACAGCCAATATTTACATTAAGATGAGAGAAACATTAAAAATAATTTATTTGAATTAATAAAACTTTATTCAAACTCAAACTTGATTTTTGTTTGTTTTTTTATTCACTTGAAATTAATTGTTTTTTTAAATTTAAAAATTTTTCTTCGATTCAAATGAAGACATTATTTATTTGATATCATTAAAACAGTTTTATTGAAATGAAAAACCGATTTTATTTCATTCAAATGTGTTAACTCTAATTTCAATTTTTTTAACGTTAGGGAACTTTTTTTAAAAAAATATCGTGACATTTTCTCTTAGAATCGCTCATTATGGAGATTAATTTTATTTTTAATTAACATAAAAATCAATTTTTTATTGAATTTCCAAATTGTGCAAATGGTTTCTGTTTTGAAGAGAGTTCAATTGCCTCCAAAAACCATTTTTTAAATTTTTCTCCACCCCTTTCCCCCCAAGACATTCCCAAAATAATCAGTACAAAATGTTTCCCCTCATCCCCTCGTTAACATAAATAATAATGGGCATTAACCGCACAAACAATTTCCCCTGAAAATCTAATAATCTCTAAACAGGTATAACAAATCGATTGCCCGAAGCTCTATTCGAAATAAATTGCAGAGTACAAAGTGACTCTATCATTACTATAACGTAATAACCGAGGTACAACCAGCCAATTGCTTATCGCTCAATTTTAAACCCCCTTGCCCCACTCTAAAACCATAAACGCCTCGTGAATTCCCCGTGTTTACGATCCCCCCATAGTTCCACACTCGTGCGCATTTCTCATTCATCCTTTTTTTCGTGAAAACTCATTGTACGATTTTTACGGTCTGCAGTGAAAGAGGATGAAGGTCGTACACTGTGGCTGGACACACAGAGTCACGCAAGCAGCAGCGCAAGCTCGACAGACGACGACTATTCCTGGCAGTGGCCCACGAGCTTTTGGTCCCAGTTCAAAGTGAGACGCTCAGAAATTTCTTTTTTCGGCAATTAGAGAATACAATGTCTAGGCAATTCACTAATTTTAACTTTCAAATATGGGTGAAACGTCTTTTGAAGAATTTAATCAAATAATTTAATTGCAGGATAATAAAATTAACTTTTTTAAGCTTTCACTGTCCATAAAATAAATGATGAGAATTGTTTAAATTTTTGGTTGTTTTTTAGGAAGAATACTTTGTATTTGTTACAATTTCTAATCCTATAATTACAATTTTCCAATCATTTTATAAATTTCTTATGTCAGATTTTTTTTATCTGCAAAAAATTTACTTTTCGTAAAATTTTCTTCTTGTGGAGAAATAATGAAAATTGTTTAAATTTTTTAGAACTTTTTTTGGCATGAAATGGAGACGTTCAGACGCTTTGACAAATTTGATGATTCAAAATGACAAAACATTATATTAATATTAACAATTAATTATTATTATTATTTATAATTTTTAATATAATTAATCTATTAATTATTAATAATTAATCGACTCGTATTAATTATTATATTGAGAAGACACTTGGATATCCTTAACGCCAAATTTTTAGTGTCATTTTCAAAAAATTTCTCTTTTCTAAATATTCTCTTCCGATAAATGAATAATGGAAGTAGTTTAAACTTGCGAAAACCGCATTTTTTGCATGAAATCAACAAATCTGTTAAAATTTCGAAAGACTGATTTTTAGTCATTGTAATTTTCCCATGATTTTACGAACTTTACGTGTTATATTTTTAAAATTAGCAAAAAACTCCATTTTTGCAAGCATTCCCTCCTTAAAAAAATCACTAATTCACTCGCCAAGTAGTAAAACGCTACAAGTCAATTTTGACTATTGACCAGTTTTCAATAAATACCTCGGAATCTAAGGGAGATATCAAAATTTTTGTTATAACCTTTTTTGTAGAGCCGATTGAGAGCTACACCAAACGTAATTACAAAAATTTCGATATCTCCCTTAGATTCGGAGATATTCCTCAAAAACTCAACTGGGAGATGAGTCGACTTGAACCGTTTTACATTTCGCCACTGAATTTACAAAAAAACGACTACTTTCCTCCCAAAAAAATGCAATTCCCATTTGTTTTCAGGTATTATCAGAGAGAAACTTCCAAGAGGCGAAATCCCGAATGCTGTCTCGACTGAACTGGCTCCAGACAATAGGCCTGGGAATCCTCGCAGGACTCTTGTGGCTGAGATTACCGAGAACCGAGGCAGCACTCCACGACATCCAAGGATGGATGTTCTTCAGTACGACTTATTGGATGTTATTCGCGCACTTCGGTACACTGTCCAGCTGTAAGTGCTCCAACACCACCTCCCTTCGTTCAGCGATAATTTACGATCTTGAAATTGCATTTTCGACGTTTACAGTTCCTCCAGAGCGCGAAGTCATCAACAAGGAGCGGCTGTCAGGCTCGTATCGACTGTCTGCCTATTATTTAGCCAAAATGGTGGGTGAACTGCCACTCACGATAACTCTACCAGCAGTTTATCACATCATCAGTTACCCAATGCTTGGATTCCACAATCCAGCTGTATTTATCGCACTTCTCGCATTTCTTCTACTCAATACTGTTGTTGCACAAGTGAGTTTTTTATGGGGGAGATTATTTATGGGAAAATTTAGTAGGAAATGTGACGCATTCACTGGAAAATTCCGCTGGATTTTTATTAGAAATTTATTTATTTTATCCAGATCTGTTTGAGTGAGATGAAATGAATGAATAGATGATGATAAAATTATATGAAATAATGACAAAGTGTATAAGTAAATACTATTATTATTTAAAATTTATTTTGTTACGATTTTTTCTGTAAAATTAGTGGATATAATTTTTTTTCTGTTTTTTCTTCGTTTTTGTAATGAGAAATAAATGAAAACACTTGGAAAAATTAATCTCAAGGGAGTAATTGAGAATTAATGAAAAAAAAAATAATTTAGAGACTAAAAAAATATTTAAGAAATTCATAAGTCAAGAAAATTTACAAAAAAAATAATTCGTAATTAACAAAAAATGAAATCGAATAAAAATGAAGGGAATTTACAGTGAAATCGAATGAACATTTTCTATTGAATTATTTCATAATTCAAAATGGTAATTTCGTGAAATGGGAATGCTGAATTTGGTTTGTTTTGCAGAGTGCTGGATTCTTCGTTGGTGCATGCTGTCTGGATCTGCAGGTCAGCATAACAGCGTCTGCACTTTATACATTAGCAACACAACTACTTGGTGGATATTTGGCAACGGCTGTACCACCGTGGCTGGCGTGGGCACGATATGCCAGTATGGTACACTATGCTTACCAAAATATGCAGATACTTGAGTTTGGTGTCGGTGATCCAATAACGTGAGTCTGAGACAATTTACAATTTAATGAGAATCATTTTCAAATAAAATTTCAAAGTTTTTTGAGAGAGGAAGATCGAAAAAAAATTTACTGATACATTGATTGCATTCAGTTGATGCAATAATTAATAATAAATTTCAATTACAATTTACAATAACAATCATCATGGATTATTTAATAGAAAAAAATAATGGATAAAATTTACCTCAATAAATTTTTCTTTGAAAATTGATTTTTCAAATTAATTAATTAAAAATAATTTGCTGTGTCAAACCGAGTAAATTCCCAGAGTGAATTTTAATACCAAAAATATTATATCAATTTGATATAAAAAATTTCTTTTGACATTCTCTCCTAAACCAAATTATTCAAGAAAAAATACCAAAGGTATTTTTTGTATTAAATGTTGACAATTAATCAATAAAAAACTTTTACATTCCCCTGAATCCCCCAATTAAATTGAATAATTAAAAATGCATATAAAAAAATAATAAACAAATAACATAATGCAATAACAGGTGTTCACAACCAAGTTCTTTAGAAAAAAATGTGAAAGGGAATTTTCTATGTCAAATGTTATTAATTAATCAACATAGAACTTTTATGTTAACCTTTCTCACCCCTCCCTGAACCCCTAATTAAATCCCTCATCAAGTCCAAACCCCTAATTAAATTGAATAATTAAAAATAATTCACTGTGATGAATGTTAAACAGGTGCTCACAACCGAGTAAATTCCCAAAGCGAATTTTTATACCAAAAATACAACCAATTTGATATAAAAAAAATACCTTCGACATTCTCCCCTAAACCAAATTATTCAAGACAAAATACCGAAGGTATTTTTTGTATTAAATGTTAACAATTAATCAATAAAAAACTTTTACATTCCCCTCAATCCCCCAATTAAGTTGAATAATTAAAAATGCATATAAAAAAATGATAAATAAATAACATAATGCAATAACAGGTGTTCACAACCAAGTTCTTTAGAAAAAAATGTGAAAGGGAATTTTCTATGTCAAATGTTATTAATTAATCAACATAGAACTTTTATGTTAACCTTTCTCACCCCTCCCTGAACCCCCTAATTAAATTCCCTCGTCAAGTCCAAACCCCCTAATTAAATAGAATAATTAAAAATAATTCACTGTGATGAATGTTAAACAGGTGCTCACAACCGAGTAAATTCCCAAAGCGAATTTTTATACCAAAAATACAACCAATTTGATATAAAAAAAATACCTTCGACATTCTCCCCTAAACCAAATTATTCAAGACAAAATACCGAAGGTATTTTTTGTATTAAATGTTAACAATTTACCAATAAAAAACTTTTACATTCCTCTGAATCCCCCAATTAAATGGAATAATTTAAAATGTGGGTAAAAAAAATAATAAATAACATAATGCAATAACAGGTGTTCACAACCAAGTTCTTTAGAAAAAAATGTGAAAGGGAATTTTCTATGTCAAATGTTATTAATTAATCAACATAGAACTTTTATGTTAACCTTTCTCACCCCTCCCTGAACCCCCTAATTAAATTCCCTCGTCAAGTCCAAACCCCCTAATTAAATTGAATAATTAAAAATAATTCACTGTGATGAATGTTAAACAGGTGCTCACAACCGAGTAAATTCCCAAAGCGAATTTTTATACCAAAAATACAACCAATTTGATATAAAAAAAATACCTTCGACATTCTCCCCTAAACCAAATTATTCAAGACAAAATACCAAAGGTATTTTTTGTATTAAATGTTAACAATTTACCAATAAAACACTTTTACATTCCCCTGAATTCCCCAATTAAATTGAATAATTAAAAATGCATGTAAAAAAATGATAAATAACATAATGCAATAACAGGTGTTCACAACCAAGTTCTTTAGAAAAAAATGTGAAAGGGAATTTTCTATGTCAAATGTTATTAATTAATCAACATAGAACTTTTATGTTAACCTTTCTCACCCCTCCCTGAACCCCCTAATTAAATTCCCTCGTCAAGTCCAAACCCCCTAATTAAATAGAATAATTAAAAATAATTCACTGTGATGAATGTTGAACAGGTGCTCACAACCGAGTAAATTCCCAGAGTGCAGAAATGGGACGACGATACCAGTCTCAGCAATTCTCGAGAGTCAAGGTGGTCGTGGCTCGGGTCTACCCCTCTGGGCAAACACCGCTGTTCTCCTAGCTTTCCTCGTTGTGTTCAGGACCCTCGGTTATCTCGTACTACGCTACTACCGGATTCCCAAGTGAACGACAAAATAAAATATTAAATTAAAAATCGACCACATAGTATGAAAAGAAAAAATGTTTATATGTTTTTTTTCTACGAATTTTCACGAATCTTTTCACTATCAATTAATTATCAATTAATTCAGTTATTACGACTACGGTTTTAATGCGTAACGGTGGGTGATGTTGGGCGGACGCAGTCGGAATTTTTTTTCATCGTGACCTTTGGAATGTCGTCACTGTGGGGAAACACGCACACGGTAACTCGGCGCCAGTTGGGGAGAGGTGAGATGAGTTGAATCTGTTTTTAGAGGGAATTATTTTTTATGGTCTCTTGGGATCTGAGAGAAGTTTTTGGGAGAGTGGCTGGGTTTTGGAAAAATTCGGCTCTCAGTCTTGAGATATTTAATACTATTTTGATAGTAGAATGGATGAAATGGGACAGCCACTTTATGGGGAGTTTTGAAATTAATTTTTAACTGACAATTTTTAGCTGAATTTTGAAAATTTATGTCATCTAAAGTGAATGGAACGGGACATCAACTATGATGAGTTTTAATATAAATTTTCAACTGAAATTTCCAGCAAAAAAGTTCAAAGTTTTTTTTGAAGATTAAAAAACATGTGAATAGTATCTTCAATTTTTAATGAATTGAGTCAACTCAATTTCATACCAAAGTTCAGGGGAATTACTAAAACTTTCACACAAGAATTTCCAACAATTGACATTTCAACGAAATGTCACCTTTAAATTTAAAAAAACTGTCAATTTCAGTGAAATTTCAGAAACTTCAGGTGAATTTCAAACTAATTTCATAGTAAATATTTCCATTCAATTGGAAAATCTCAAATTAATTTAAATTCACTTGACCTTTTATCTGAAATTTCCAAAATTTCTAAACCTCTCTAAATCTGAATATTAAAAAAATTTCAATATTTAGACATTGACAGATATTATTTTAGACATTGGTTTAGATATTTTAGATATTTATTTTTGATTTTTCGAGTGGAATATTAAATTCCCGTCAAAATTCAAGAGAATGTTCCCTTAAATTCTCAACAACTCAAAAATTCCCGTGAATTTCATTCTAAACATCCATTTTAAATTAAAAATTCAAGAGAATTAAATGTTTTTCTCAACTTTCCCCCTAATTTCGCAAAATTACGCGTCTTCTCCCCTTCCTAAAACTCCAATTTCCGTCAAAACAAAAAGTAGTGGATGCATTCCTAATTTTTCTGATCATGAGCATTGGAGTGTCATCCCTCCGATGAAACACGCACACAACTCATCGCCATTCTCCCCACGCGCGATCCGCCCTCAATACTACCCACCGATACGAAAAACTAAATAAAATAAATAACGCGAGACTAAGAGACTTGGCGAGTGAAACCTACATGTAGATATTTTATACGAAAAAACCACAAAAATTGAAAAAAAAGGTTTAATAATAGTGCGATCGATTGATGAACCCATGTGACGAATAAAAAAGTTTAATATTAGTGTGTGAGTGATATCCGCGGCAAGAAAGGGTATAATAAAAAATACAAATTGATCATGATACTGCCGATAATGAGAGGAAACCAATTGACTGAACTTTTTACGGGCGATGAACATTTTTACGAGTACGAAAGAAAGCAAAAAATAATACTACCGACATTTGTATTTAAGAACGTTTGATTTTTACGTTAGTTAAGCTTTTAGTTATGTTCCCTTTAACGTTATTAATTATTCGATCAATCGTTTCATTATTTTTACTCTCATTTTTTTTCGTAAATACATTTATTATCCTATCCTTAGATAGATTATCTAGTTTATTATGACAATTTGATGTGAAGAAGTGTGTGAAGGGATGAAACATTGTGCTGCCAACTAATTAGGGGAGGATGGAGTCAGATAGAGACAAGTACGAAATAATTTCATAGAAAATTCTATTTGGTTTCTATTCGGCCGATTTTTTTTTCAATAAAAATGGCGAATGGAAAATGTTCTACAGAAAAAATTAATTGAATTCGATTTTTTTATGCAATTTGTTCTACTTCTATAAAAGTTCCTCTGCTAAAATTTTCTAATTGTTCTGTGTAATTTTTTTAATGGAAAAAATTGAATGGGAAAAACTTGGGAAATTCATGTCTAGGAATTTCTATAGAAACAATTTCATAGGAAATTCTATTGGATTTTTATTTAGTTTTTCGCTAATTTGTTTCTCAATAAAAATGTTCATTGGAAAATGTTCTATAGAAATTCCTCTGATAATATTTTCTTATTTTTTTATTTGATTTTTTTAAATGAAAAAAAGTGGGAAAACTTGGGAAATTCATGTATTAGAAAAATTTAATAGGGAATTCTATTGGATTTCTATTAATTTTCCGTCAATTTTTTTTCCAATAAAAATCTTTAATGGAAAATATTCTATAGAAATTCCTCTGATAAAATTTTCTAATTTTCCTATTTAATTTATCAAACGGGGAAAAGTTGAATTAAAAGATAAAATTCAATGAAATTAGAAATCGACTAGAATTTTCTATCGAATTCCCTAGATTAATCTCTGAAATTTCGTCGTGCATGCCTGTTCATTGTGAAAATTATTTCGATATTAACCATGTATTTAACATTAATGATATTTAATCATCGTCATTGTCAGACGTTTGATGAATACATTAAAACAGTCGCAAGCCTGCCTCCAAATTATGTAAAACTCGGACAAGAGTTCCAAGTATAGGGACAAAGTATTTATAATAACAAATCGATAATCGATAATGTCGAGACAGCCACTAGACAGTGTGAGGTACGTCATAATGAAGGGAATATGCAGAGATAAAACTTTATGAAATGAATATTGTAATTACTCATCTGAGTCTACTCTGTTATTGCGAATTAGCAAATTGAGTGGGTGAAAAAAAAAATAAGTGCGATATTATCATTTTACTTTCTACCATGTACATAGAAAAACACAATTATTATTAACCACGCATGTACCATGCCTAACGGACTGAACGATATTGGGGGGGCACAGCCCCTCTACAACATTATGTGCATGTATTTTATAAATATATGAATACATTCGTGTTAATCGACGAATAATTACGGCTAATGTCCCTTAAACTGAGAACGTTTTTAATATCAAAGTGTTTTGGAATCCTTTCCTCGTGGAAAGTTCGTAACAGTCGTCATGAACAAAAATAATATGAAAATGCCAGTGTTTGTTAAAATAATATATTGATAGTTATATTATTCCTATATTATAGGCGGATGTTGTAATGCATTTTTAGGGTGCGTCGGGAGAACTCGAATTTCAATCGATTTGTGGTTTTTTGGTGAATTTTTCTGGAGGTGAGGGGGAGGGGAGGTGAGACAATTTTTAGGGGAACAGGTTTTGGCGAATTTCGAGAGATTGGGGGAATTTTCTAGGGGAGTTTCTGGGTTTTGGAGAAATTGAGATTTTTAAAGGGAATTTGATAGTGGAATTGATGGGAGGGGATGTCAACTTCAGGATGAGTTTTAATATGAATTTTTAATTGAAATTTTGCACTAGAAGGTTTCAATGGAACTTTTTAAGATTAAAAAACATGTCAATTAGAAATTCATGTGAAGAGCAGAATTTCCTCTTGAATTTCTTATTAGCGGAAAATTCAAGGTGATTTGATAATGATTATTTGGGTTCATTTGGAGATTGTTGAAAGAATCTAAATTCATTTGAATTTTCAGATGAATTTTGAAAATTTCAGACTGGAATTTCCAACAATTGACATTTTAAGGAAATGAGATCTGTTCAAAATTTTTTTTAACTGTAAATTTCAGGGAAAATTGAGCAAGTTTAGGTGAATTTCTTCTTGAGTTTCTTATTAGGAGAAAATTCAAGCTAATTTCAGACTGAATATTCATGTTCAATTGGGAAATCTTGAAAGAATATGAATTCATTTGAATTTTCAGCTGAATTTTGAAAATTTCAGACTGGAATTTCCAACAATTGACATTTTAAGGAAATGAGATCTGTTCAAAATTTTTTTAAACTGTAAATTTCAGGGAAAATTGAGCTAGTTTAGGTGGATTTCTTCTTGAATTCCTTATTCGCATAAATTTCAAGATAATTTCATACTAAATATTCATGTTCAATTGGGAAATTTCGAAAGAATTTGAATTCACTTGACTTTTCAGCTGAATTTTTATAATTTATGAGTCTTTTAACGTGAATTAAAGAAAAAATTAACTTCAGAGTTAGTTTTGAAATAAATTTTCAACTGAAATTTGCAACGAGTGACATTTTAACAAAATATGACCTGTTGCAGACAAAAAATTGCGAATTTCAGTGAAAATTAGGTGAATTCATCCCAAATTTTTCAATTCGTTAAAAATGAAAATTAATTTCATTCTGCATTAATCATTGTCCTCAAATCTATTTAAATTCACTTTAACGTTCATCTGAATCCTGAAAAATTATAAGTCTTTCCCTTAAATAAAATTCCAATTTTCTTTAAAAATCGTCTTCACTAAAATTTTAAGCAATATTTAAGGAAAAATATTTATCAAAAGTTCGCCGAATATTCCTTTAAAAAAAAGAAAATCAAATTTCCGACGAATTCTTTCTCGTAAAATTCACTCTATTTCGCAAATCTCTCAAATTTCAAGAAATTCTCCACCAACTCATCTGCTTTATCACCCCATAACTGAACTCAACCAGTAAAAAAAATGACTCCCCTAACTCAGCCCTCACGCCTGAATTCCCATCAAACCACAAAAGAAAAATTAACAAAAAACTGATAAATTTCGCTGAGCGAAATATTTTGTTTTGTTTATCATCATCTCAAATATTTGCTTTTTCGTTTATATAAAATGCAAGATCCACCAAGTGTTCAATGTGTTTCTGATTGAATTTGCGAAAATGGGGGAGATAAATTAAAAGTGGAGATACCGTCTTCTTGTGGATTAGACCAATAAAACGAATGTGTGTCTGACAGTTTGATTTCCTCACTTGAACAATAAACTGTAAACGGGATAACGAAAGAAAAAAAAATACTGTTTTTTAAACAAAGATTTGGCTGTGTTGTCGGCATCGTAAACGTTGTTTATTAATTTGTAACATTTTTCTC